GAAAGCCAATTCAGAAGCACTATTATACAGCTACTGGTGGCTCTAGAAAAAAGCATTAAGGCCTCACGAGACTTCATGACTGCAGAATTTAGATCCAATCAGGCAGAAATTAAAAATCAATTGAATGAGATGCAATCCAAACTAGAAGTCCTAACGACGAGGGTTAACGAGGTGGAAGAACGAGTGAGTGACATAGAAGACAAGTTAATGGCAAAGAGGGAAACTGAGGAAAAAAGAGACAATTAAGGGACCATGAAGACAGATTAAGGCAAATAAATGACACTCTAAGGAAGAAAAACCTACGTTTAATTGGGGTTCCCGAGGGCGCCGAAAGGGACAGAGGGCCAGAATATGTATTTGAACAAATCCTAGCTGAAAACTTTCCCAATCTGGGAAGGGAAACAGGCATTCAGATCCAGGAAATAGAGAGATCCCCCCCTAAAATCAATAAAAACCGTTCAACACCTCGACATCTAATAGTGAAGCTTGCAAATTCCAAAGATAAAGAGAAGATCCTTAAAGCAGCAAGAGACAAGAAGTCCCTGACTTTCATGGGGAGGAATATTAGGGTAACAGCAGACCTCTCCACAGAGACCTGGCAGGCCAGAAAGGGCTGGCAGGATATATTCAGGGTCCTAAATGAGAAGAACATGCAACCAAGAATACTTTATCCAGCAAGGCTCTCATTCAAAATGGAAGGAGAGATAAAGAGCTTCCAAGACAGGCAGGAACTGAAAGAATATGTGACCTCCAAACCAGCTCTGCAAGAAATTTTAAGGGGGACTCTTAAAACTCCCCTTTAAGAAGAAGTTCAAGTAACTCTGAACGTGAATGGGCTTAATGACCCCATCAAAAGGCGCAGAGTTTCAGACTGGATTAAAAAACAGGACCCATCTATTTGCTGTCTACAAGAGACTCATTTTAGACAGAAGGACACCTACAACCTGAAAATAAAAGGTTGGAGAACCATTTACCATTCAAATGGTTCTCAAAATATACCCTAAAAACTACAGAACACTTCTGAAAGAAATTGAGGAAGACACAAAGAGATGGAAAAATATTCCATGCTCATGGATTGACAGAATTAATATTGTGAAAATGTCAATGTTACCCAGGGCAATTTACACGTATAATGCAATCCCTATCAAAATACCATGGACTTTCTTCAGAGACTTAGAACAAATTATTTTAAGATTTGTGTGGAATCAGAAAAGACCCCAAACAGCCAGGGGAATTTTAAAAAAAGAAAACCATATCTGGGGGCATCACAATGCCAGATTTCAGGTTGTACTACAAAGCTGTGTTCATCAAGACAGTGTGGTACTGGCACAAAAACAAACATATAGATCAATGGAACAGAACAGAGAACCCAGAAGTGGACCCTGAACTTTATGCTCAACTAATATACGATAAAGGAGGAAAGACGATCCACTAGAAGAAAGACAGTCTCTTCAGTAAATGGTGCTGGGAAAATTGGACATCCACATGCAGAAGAATGAAACTGGACCACTCTCTTGCACCATACACAAAGATAAACTCAAAATGGATGAAAGATCTAAATGTGAGACAAGATTCCATCAAAATCCCAGGCAACACCCTTTTTGAACTTGGCCACAGTAACCGGAGAAGGACAAACAGTGTATGTTCTCATTCATTTGGGGAATATGAATAATAGCGAAAGGGAATATATGGGAAGGGAGAAGAAATGTGTGAGAAATATCAGAAAGGGAGACAGAACATAAAGACTTCTAACTCTGGGAAATGAACTAGGGGTGGTGGAGGGGGAGGAGGGTGGGGGGTGGGGGTGAACGGGTGACGGGCACTGAGGGGTACACTTGACGGGATGAGCACTGGGTGTTATTCTGTATGTTGGTAAATTGAACACCAATAAAAATTAATTTATAAAAAAAAAAAAAAAGATTTGTGTGGAATCAGAAAAGACCCCGAATAGCCAGGGGAATTTTACAAAAGAAAACCATAGCTGGGAGCATCACAATGCCAGATTTCAGGTTGTACTACAAAGCTGTGGTCCTCAAGACAGTGTGGTACTGGCACAAAAACAGACACATAGATCAATGGAACAGAATAGAGAACCCAGAAGTGGACCCTGAACTTTATGGTCAACTAATATTCGACAAAGGAGGAAAGACGATCCACTGGAAGAAAGACAGTCTCTTCAATAAATGGTGCTGGGAAAATTGGACATCCACATGCAGAAGAATGAAACTGGACCACTCTCTTTCACCATACACAAAGATACACTCAAAATGGATGAAAGATCTAAATGTGAGACAAGATTCCATCAAAATCCTAGAGGAGAACACAGGCAACACCCTTTTTGAACTCGGCCACAGTAACTTCTTGCAAGATACATCCACGAAGGCAAAAGAAACAAAAGCAAAAATGAACTATTGGGACTTCATCAAGAAAAGAAGCTTTTGCACAGCAAAGGATACAGTCAACAAACCTAAAAGACAACCTACAGAATGGGAGAAGATATTTGCAAATGACACATCAGATAAAGGGCTAGTTTCCAAGATCTATGAAGAACTTCTTAAACTCAACACCAAAGAAACAAACAATCCAATCATGAAATGGGCAAAAGACATGAAGAGAAATCTCACAGAGGAAGACATAGACATGGCCAACATGCACATGAGGAAATGCTCTGCATCACTTGCCATCAGGGAAATACAAATCAAAACCACAATGAGATCCCACCTCACACCAGTGAGAATGGGGAAAATTAACAAGGCAGGAAACAACAAATGTTGGAGAGGATGTGGAGAAAGGGGAACACTCTTGCACTGTTGGTGGGAATGTGAACTGGTGCAGCCACTCTGGAAAACTGTGTGGAGGTTCCTCAAAGAGTTAAAAATAGACCTGCCCTACGACCGAGCAATTGCACTGTTGGGGATTTACCCCAAAGATTCAGATGCAATGAAACGCGGGACACCTGCACCCCAATGTTTACAGCAGCAGTGGCCACAATAGCCAAACTGTGGAAGGAGCCTCGGTGTCCATCGAAAGATGAATGGATAAAGAAGATGTGGTTTATGTATACAGTGGAATATTCCTCAGCCATTAGAAACGACAAATACCCACCATTTTCTTCAACGTGGATGGAACTGGAGGGTATTAGGCTGAGTGAAGTAAGTCAATCGGAGAAGGACAAACATTATATGTTCTCATTCATTTGGGCAATATAAATAATAGTGAAAGGGAATATAAGGGAAGGGAGAAGAAATGTGTGGGAAATATCAGAAAGGGAGACAGAACATAAAGACTCCTAACTCTGGGAAACGAACTAGGGGTGGTGGAAGGGGAGGAGGGCGGGGGGTGTGGGGTGAATGGTTGACGGGCACTGAGGGGGCCACTTGATGGGATGAGCACTGGGTGTTATTCTGTATGTTGGTAAATTTAACACCAATAAATAAATAAATAAATAAAGCATCTTGTCGTCATAACCGAGGTTTTTTTCCTGTCCCCTCCTTCTTGTAGTCTCAGACTAGATTTATGCAAATCCATTACAAATGCATGAAAGTAATCCAAGCACCTATCACAGTAGTTATAGGCATACGTTTCTTACATCCACAACAAATTGCATTTTTCAATATAAAAATATTCTTCTTTACTCATAAAAGTCTTTATGAGATGTAAAGGTACACAAAAAACAGTTTCTAAGAGTTAAGTTATGGTCATGACCCTGAATTGTGACTAGTCCATGAAAAGCATGACACCACACACTAAGTCACCACAGATCATGTGCTGTGCCCTAGGTGTGTATCTGCATAGATAAATACACTTCAGTATTTTTGCATTTACAGTTGGATGACATCCTAAAGTAATACCTTGAATTGAATGTATATGGCCACACATAGTTTTGAATGCCATGTAATTTTTTCCTCTTTTCTAACTTGGTTTTTCCAAACACATTGAAGTGAAGACACAAAACTATTCAGAATCCAAACATAATATGACTATAAGGGCAAAACTCACTAAGTGGTAATTATGGGCAACACCTATTAATTAGTTAATTAATAACCAGTAATCTGAAACACTGTATGTATTCCCTGTATTTATATCTATTTCCACTTATTACATAATTATTAAATTTTAAAAATTTACTTAAGTGTGTATGCAGAAACCTAAAGAGGTTTCTCAAATACTAGCAGGTCCATTTTGACATTAACATCCTGCTTGTTTTCTTTTCTTTTTTTTTAAGATTTTATTTATTTATTCATGAGAGACACAGAGAGGCAGAGACACATGCAGAGGGAGAAGCAGGCTCCGTGCGGGGAGCCTGATGTAGGACTTGATCCCAGGGCCCCAGGATCAGGTCCCCAGCCAAAGGCAGACCATTCAACTGCTGAGCCACCCAGGTGTCCCTGCTTGTTTTCTTTTATGCCAGGAAGAACACGAGTGTCCTGGCAATGCCAATGACATAGGTCATATCCTGGGGGTAGTGATAGTTCTCGGTGTCCCCAGAGATGTTGTGATGGAATGAGGGGCCACTGCAGAGCCAATGAGCCACTTAGGAGGAGGCACTTTACTTTGAAGAAGCTGAGGGTCTTCAAATTGAAGGCAAAGCATCCAGGTTGTCATCCAGGACTCACATACCCCTTTCCTTGAGATGCACATCACCTTCTGCTTCCTCACCTGATTCAAACAGGGTGCTGGGAGACCTGATGTCTGTGTTTCCAGCAGCAAGAAGACTCGGAAGACAGGCGACCGCCAGGCCCTGTTGTAGAGATTCTATTAAAAAGAGATCCTCGGTGCTAAAGTCCTCCAGGCCGGTGGGAGCTGTTAGAAGCTGAAAGGAAGTGCAGACTGAAATGGCCTGGTGACGGCCTGTGAGAGGGGAGAGAGCGCAGCCTGAGCATTCCTGCCCCCAGCCAGTTGGTGGGGCGCCAGCCTCACTGCCCTGCCCTTCCCTTGGCCCTTCTCCGCCACACTGCCACACTCGGGGCCATGCAGAGTGTTGAACGTACTCTTTTCAACTACTTGGCCCTGTGTTCCAGTCCAAGCCATGTTGCACCCAGGATGCACAGACGGAACTGCGAGGAGGTGCGGGCGCTCGGTACTCCAGGTGCTGACCGCGGGGACCGCCCGGTGCTGACCGCGGGGGACGGCCCGGTGTTGACCGCGGAGACCGCTCGGTGCTGACCGCGGGACCGCTCGGTGCTGACCGCGGGGACCGCCCGGTGCTGACCGCCGGGACCGCCCGGTGCTGACCGCGGGGACCGCCCGGTGCTGACCGCGGGGACCGCCCGGTGCTGACCGCGGGGGACGGCCCGGTGTTGACCGCGGAGACCGCTCGGTGCTAACCGCGGGACCGCTCGGTGCTGACCGCGGGGACCGCCCAGTGCTGACCGCGGGGGACGGCCCGGTGCTGACCGCCGGGACCGCCCGGTGCTGACCGCGGAGACCGCTCGGTGCTGACCGCGGGACCGCTCGGTGCTGACCGCGGGGACCGCCCGGTGCTGACCGCGGGGGACGGCCCGGTGCTGACCGCCGGGACCGCCCGGTGCTGACCGCGGGACCGCTCGGTGCTGACCGCGGGGACCTCCCGGTGCTGACCGCGGGGACCGCCCGGTGCTCACCGCGGGACCGCTCGGTGCTGACCGCGGGGACCGCCCGGTGCTGACCGCGGGGGACGGCCCGGTGCTGACCGCCGGGACCGCCCGGTGCTGACCGCGGGACCGCTCGGTGCTGACCGCGGGGACCGCCCGGTGCTGACCGCGGGACCGCTCGGTGCTGACCGCGGGGACCGCCCAGGTGCTGACCGCGGGGACCGCCCGGTGCTGACCGCGGGGGACGGCCCGGTGCTGACCGCCGGGACCGCCCGGTGCTGACCGCGGAGACCGCTCGGTGCTGACCGCGGGACCGCTCGGTGCTGACCGCGGGGACCGCCCGGTGCTGACCGCGGGGGACGGCCCGGTGCTGACCGCCGGGACCGCCCGGTGCTGACCGCGGGACCGCTCGGTGCTGACCGCGGGGACCGCCCGGTGCTGACCGCGGGGGACGGCCCGGTGCTGACCGCGGGGACCGCCCGGTGCTGACCGCGGGACCGCTCGGTGCTGACCGCGGGGACCGCCCGGTGCTGACCGCGGGACCGCTCGGTGCTGACCGCGGGGACCGCCCAGGTGCTGACCGCGGGGACCGCCCGGTGCTGACCGCGGGGGACGGCCCGGTGCTGACCGCCGGGACCGCCCGGTGCTGACCGCGGGACCGCTCGGTGCTGACCGCGGGGACCGCCCGGTGCTGACCGCGGGACCGCTCGGTGCTGACCGCGGGGACCGCCCGGTGCTGACCGCGGGGGACGGCCCGGTGCTGACCGCCGGGACCGCCCGGTGCTGACCGCGGAGACCGCCCGGTGCTGACCGCGGGACCGCTCGGTGCTGACCGCGGGACCGCTCGGTGCTGACCGCGGGGACCGCCCGGTGCTGACCGCGGGGGACGGCCCGGTGCTGACCGCCGGGACCGCCCGGTGCTGACCGCGGAGACCGCCCGGTGCTGACCGCGGGGACCGCTCGGTGCTGACCGCGGGGACCGCCCGGTGCTGACCGCGGGGACCGCCCGGTGCTGACCGCGGGGACCGCCCAGGTGCTGACCGCGGGGACCGCCCGGTGCTGACCGCGGGGGACGGCCCGGTGCTGACCGCCGGGACCGCCCGGTGCTGACCGCGGAGACCGCTCGGTGCTGACCGCGGGACCGCTCGGTGCTGACCGCGGAGACCGCTCGGTGCTGACCGCCGGGACCGCCCGGTGCTGACCGCGGGACCGCTCGGTGCTGACCGCGGGGACCGCCCAGGTGCTGACCGCGGGGGACGGCCCGGTGCTGACCGCGGGGACCGCCCAGGTGCTGACCGCGGGGACCGCCCAGGTGCTGACCGTGGGGACCGCCCGGTGCTGACCGCGGGGACCGCCCAGGTGCTGACCGCGGGGACCGCCCAGGTGCTGACCGCGGGGACGGTCCGGTGCTAACCACGGGGACCGCCTGGTGCTAACCGCGGGGACCGCTTGGTGCTGACCGCGGGGACTACTTGGTGCTGACCGCGGGGGACGGCCCGGTGCTGACCGCGGGGGACAGCCCGGTGCTGACCGCCGGGACCGCCCAGGTGCTGACCGCGGGGACCGCTTGGTGCTGACCGCGGGGACCGCCCAGGTGCTGACCGCGGGGACCGCTCGGTGCTGACCGCGGGGGACGGCCCGGTGCTGACCGCGGGGACCGCCCGGTGCTGACCGCGGGGACGGCCCGGTGCTGACCGCGGGGACCGCCTGGTGCTGACCGCGGGGACCGCCCAGGTGCTGACCGCGGGGACCACCCGGTGCTGACCGCGCCCCGGGGCCAGGTGTACTGCCCAACACACACCGCCCACCGATGGCCACAATCTGGCCCCCAAACCAGCTCAGACTCCAGCGGGAGCTCCGCCCCTCGTGTTCCCGAAGCATTAGACTTAAAGGGCTGTGATTCTCCCCAGGAGAGCGGCCGCGCGCGCTGGGGCCTCCCACCGGCCTTCACCGGGGGGCTGGGGGGGCTGGAGCCCGGGGGCACCGGGTCCTCCTGAACCTGATGGTGCTCTGCCCCGGAGTCAGACTCAAGGCCTAGTAGCCGCCGCTGGAACAGCAACAGGCGGGAAGTTCTCACTCTTCCCAGGCAGGTGGAAGATTCTGGTTTTCATTGGAGCAGCCTCATGTAAACAGTAGTGACTGGATTTGCCTGGAACAATCAATCCCAGCGTGATGTACTATTTCTTTACCGTATTAGCCTAAATTGTGTACAAAGCCCCTTAGTGAGTTTTAAAATGCAGCTGTACCTCAGGCCTCGCCATAGGTGTATTTTAAATCAATATTTGCAAATTGAATTGTGCTTTGAACGTTTTATGGAAGTGAGCTTTTAAAATGCATCATTTCCTATATCAGATATTTCTAAAGTAAAGTGAATAACTGTCTCCTCATTTATCTTTGGTTTACGTACAAATTTTAATACACTGAATCTGTCTAAAGCCAGACCCTTTCTGTAATTCACTTCTCTCTTGGGTCGTGGGTGATTGGTTTTTGTTCTTGTTTTGTTTCGTTCTGTTTTTGCAGGCTAAACGAAATTATGCCAACCCTGGGGTGCTGTTGTCCTTATACTGTATGGAAGAGAGCAAGTCACAGATGGCACTGGTCACCATCCCATGATGGATCACCTGGCCCCTGAGTAGGTAGTTAGGTATAGAATCCTCATTATCTGACTTCTGGCTCGATGTCCTTTTCACGGTTACAGTGTCTGCCGCAAGAAGAAAAGGAAAATAGGTATACAGAAAACAGAGAAGCGGCTACTTACACATGTCATTAGGAAGCCTATCGACGACTTTGAAATTGGCTCATAAAGAGAAAAACAGAGACTGTCCTAATAAACTCAGTGCCTGATGAGCATAACTAAATCTTTTTGCAGCCTTGGGATTTCTATAGTTTAATCCTTTGTGAAATGGAATACACCTTAATGGCTGTAACACACCACTTTGTGACAATCTTACCTTTGAGAAAATACTACATATGTCTTTATAAAAATAATTCTGGAATACCTCTTAGTACCTGTATGCTAGTATTAAAAGTCAAGGTCTATATATTCACATTTTCATGAATATGAATATCAAATATTTATTGACCTGTATTAATTTAATAATGTAAAAGATGATGCTCTAAGATCCTGGTATCCTCTTTTATCCCCACTCAATCTGAAGCAATACCGGAAGGAAATTCCACTTGACATTCTTTAATATATTCAAAACATAAAATAAAGAAGGCAATGAAAATATAGTAAACAGTAGACTCCTTTCATTTAGAAGGGAAGGAAGAAACATAGAGCCTGAAAGAATCTGGTGGTTGTTCTACAAGAACTAGTCTTAGGAAAAAAAAAAAAAATCAACCTGGTAAGACATATTTACTTTCTGCAGCATTCCTACTTGATTGCTGACATTCCACAATCTCATGATATTTTGAATGCATTATACTCATTCTGTTTGAAAAAGAAATTAACATGTATTTAAATAGTGCAGTTTTGTGAGGGAGAGGAACCGTGCCCATGTGTGTGAAGCTAATGACACTGGGTGCAGAATGAGTCATCATGGTTTTTATTTATTCATTCATCCTTAGATCCTTTTAAAAGTCTCCAAGGCCCTAATGACCATCATCATTATCATCAGTAAAAACTGCTTTCTGGTGAAAAGGCAATCGGCATTAAATTTAGAGGCAGCATTAAATTATCAGTAAAGAGGACCTGAAATAGTACTACACACACAACCCTGGACACAAGATGCCGGAAATTCGTAGAGCGCCAGTCAGGCAGTCTTCCTGATTAAGTTTGTGACCGAGATGTACTCTTGTCCTTTACAAGGCAGTATCATTTAGCTCAGGAGAAAATAAAGTACAGGCCAGTTTCTACGCTCCCGTGTTGAAGGTTATTAAGTCAAAGATAGCAGTCATAACAAAGTCCTCAATTATGAATCAAGTTTTAAGAATTATCAGCATCAAAACTTTATTCCAAGCATTTCTCCTCCCTTAGAGTTTCTTGCATGTAATAAAGAAAGACTGGCCAGTGAGTGGGTGAGAAAATATCAGTGGGAAATATTTTGAATTAAACCCTATGAAATCCTGTCCCTGAGCTATGTTATAAATGTCCCATTGTCACTCAGCAAGTACAGCAAAGGCTTTAACTTCTCTGTATAACTTCCAGGAACAGAATTGGAACTAGCTTCCAAAGGCCAAGGCCCACTCATCTGGAGAGAAACACAGGGTGGCATCTGGAAGTACGAGAGAGGTAGGACCTTGTGAGCAATCCGGAGGTTTCCATGTCCTTCCCCCACCCACAGTTCCCTTGCAGTTTGGATGGTTCCTGCAGTTCAGAGGTTGTCAGGAAGAGAGCCGGACAGGCAAGGTGACTTGGTGTCACAGTGGAAACTGTCGGTTAGTGCCCCGGGTTCACAATCTGGCACGAGGTTGTCAGAGATCCTTCTCCGCTGCAAACAATCCACCCCCTGAAACTCTCTGAGCCACCAGATTTCTGATTTTGAAGCGGCTGGTCAGGTATTCACACTGTCTGCTTTGCAAAACCAAGTACAACAACAGTCATAAGATCCCATGATAAAACAAAAGGCATACCATGCTACGTAAGATGTAGCTTTTAGTACAGGCTACTACGGACAATTTCCCAATTCTCGAATGCGGTTCTTGTTTAATGTGGTCAGACTTTTCTATATCAAGAGTGACCTAACTTGGGGCCCCTGGGTGGCTCTGTGGTTGAGTGTCTGCCTTCGGCTCAGGGCATGATCCCAGGGTCCTGGGATGGAGTCCCACATCGGGCTCCCCACAGGGAGCCTGCTTCTCCCTCTGCCTGTGTCTCTGCCTCCCTCTCTGTGTCTCTCATGAATAAACAAATAAAATCTTAAAAAAAAAAAAGAAGTGACCTATTAAAAAAAAAACTGGCAATTTCTTCAAAGCTTCAGTGTCCATTTCTGTGAAATGGAAAAACGAACTAGCCTTGTCCACATATATGCAGCTACTGTTGATCCATCGAGACAACGTGCATAGCAGTGTTTCTGTTCCTTGTCAAGTATTGTACCGATGCCAGGTATTACTCTTGTGTTTGCTCTTATTCTTCTGAGATACCTAGTGGCTTTAGAGAGGGAAGCATTGAGGCTTCATCTCTATCACATCCTATGATAAACAGGCTTTTGTTTGCCCATAATTTAAAAGCCAAGTTTAAAGATTTGTCTAGTTCTATTGTTGATCTTTATAAATAGATTTCCCTAAGGCAGGCATATACCAAAATAGGAAAGGAATTCATGTCTATGAACACTCTTCACTCTTTTGCCGACTTAGTGCCTCTAAAAAACAGAAAACGTTTCCTTCCCTGATCAGAATCTCCCTTCTATTGCCTTTTGCAAAGCACTTATTTCCCTTGAGTTCCTCTTTCCTGATGCTTGAGTGACAGGATTTTCAACTTCTAGGACGCTCCCTCCCTTCACAGAGCAGACTGACCAGTTCCTCCTCCCAGCTGGCAGACTTGTGGTGGGGTCCCCTAGGGAAAAGAGTTCTACATCTTGACACTTTTCAATATTCTTTTTTGTTCTGATTCTTATCATCAGAATCCAAGCAGTACTTTTTTTTTTTTTTAACAACTATGAACAAAGCGTAGGTGGGGTTTCTTTTTGCATTCCTCTCTTGCACTGCGGGATCCTTATAAATCTTTTGTGCAGGTGTTGTGTAACGGTTAGTTGAGTTTCTTTTGGTACCAACCCTCAGGAATGAACCATTGTCATGTTTTTTAACTCTATAAAATGTTAATGGAGGCCTGGGTGAGATGTATTTCTGAGATTAATGGTTTTGAAGTGGAGAGATCATTCTTAATCATTGGTTTCAAAAGTCAAATAATGCTCTTCGTTGTTATCAATTTTAGATATATATTAAGAAGCCTAGTACATAGAAGCTCTCACAATGTTGTTTTGATAATAACTTGATTGTTTTTATTACTCCAAGACCTCAAATTATTTGAGATGAGATGTATAATAGTTGAACTTTGCAGACACAGAATTGTACCGATCTGTGGGAGTTTCTGGACAACACAAAGCTTTTTAAATCTTATATACTCTACAGAGTTCTGAAGTGAAGCTGCAGTCCGGAGACTTAGGTTGTTCAGAATTATACACTAAGATTACCTGGCTGAGTAGACTTGGGTCTTTTAGTTATCTCAATGACTTAACTAAACACAAGTAAACTAACTAAAAATTTAAGAACTGTTTGCAGTCAAAATAACTTCAGGGCGCCACATTTGCTCTATCTCACTGTTGTAGGAGCAAAAGATTCTAACCCTCAAAACAAACTAAGTTGAGTGCTGGCAAATTCAATTTCATAAGCATCTACAAGCATATTCATACAGAATAAAAATTAATTATGTAGAATAATATGACCTTCAATATCTCTAGCTATGAAACTTGGAATGATAAAAATCAGGAAGTCTTTATTGTTACTAATGCATGTGAAGGCTTCCCCACTGATCCCCTCCTTGGCAAACTTTTATATATATATTTTTAATTCTTCTTCATAAAACTAATTTTAGTTTCCCACAAATAAATCAAAGGGTGTTTTCTGCCAGAGTGACCATATAATAAGATGAGGCATCATTTCAGCTACACAAAATTGAGAATTCGATTTTATAAATACTTTTTGGAGTACAAAGATTCATAAGAAAAAATCCCTGCCCATTAACAGTATGTCTTAGAATAACAAGGGGATATGTAATGAAGGAGTTAGACTGAGGGCTCGAGTCAGTTTGTGTGGCTTTATTTGGGTGATCCTAATAATCCTGAATATTAATCTGGAAGAAGGCCCGTAGAGCATTTCTGTGTCACTCATTCTTTTATCCAGAGTTGGAATAGACTCCACTTAGAGAAAATCTTATGTATGTA